CAACCTATAAACTTTATTACTGCCTAAGTCCCTATCTTTCCCATGTCCTTACTCGTGAAATGACTTTATGACTCATGAGATTTGATGTCTTTTCTTTGCCCTCAGGGGTGCCATGCCAGTCAAACTGGCACCGTTTGTCCTTCCTCCTTTGCTCCATACACTTGGGATAAGCGGGGACATTCAGCAGCCCTCTCTCCAGGGGGGGACCTGAGCTCTTGCTCCCAGTGTGGGAGTGAGAAGCATTCAGCCCGTTGCCATCCCGCCTTCCCCCGCTCTGAGAAAGCCATTGCCAGCAGTCAGATGGTGAAAAAGAAGGAGTAAGACAAGGGGTGGGGGGCGCTTCTGTGATAGGTTGATTGCACCAACCAGGCCAATGGGGACATATGGACGGAGTTTAATCAGGTTGCAGCTTGTTTGGAGGGTGACCAAGATAAAGATGGCCTGCACCCCATCTTCCTCTTCCTCCCTGGTCAGCAGACAGCATACTGCTGCTTGAGCTAGTGTTGAAGGCCATTAAGACTCTCAGCCTTGAAACGGCTGAGAAGTCTCATGACCCAGTTGTCAGTATCTGCTGTTTGCTTCTGCGGCTTGACACTGAGACTAAGAAAAAGAACAAGGATGTATGCGAGTTCTGGGAAATCAGGATGGTTAATTTTCTCAAGGATGCTTGGTTTGGAAAAACATGGAGTTGTTGATATGTATCCAATGTGCTTGCTTAACACTGAGAAAAATATAACCCCGGGTAGTTTCTGCATGTATAAAAGGAAGATGTAGAATAAACTCGGGGCTTCAGTATTCACTGTTGCCCTCCCAATACTTTCTGTCTCTCTTTTTGTCCTTAATCCTCACTCCCCCTTTCAGGACCGTTTGACTCGTTGGCAGGCTCCAACAAGTGCTGCTCTATGGGCCCAGCCATGGGGATAGTGTCACTAGAGCTTGAGGCTCCTTTGAGACCTGCTCCGCCACACTGCTGGTGCGCACATTGCTTAAGCTTGAGGTTGGAGGATCCTGTCACCTGTTTGATTTCGATATCCCATCTGGGCCTGCTTTGCTAAGCTCCTGGGCTACTGGCTTTTGCTGACCTACCCTGCTGTCTGCTGCCTTTGGGAAGACTCTGGTGCTTTGCCCAGGGAGGACTCTGCTGTCTGATTACTTGACTTTGGGGCCCAGCAGCCCATGTGAGTTGAAGGACTTCCAGTATATCAACTCTTCCACGAAAGTGGGTTGAACTGAGCCCTCTGTACTGCTGTGTGGACTAATTAGCTCTTATATATTCCTTCTCCCTCAATAAACCTATCTATCTATCTATCTATCTATCTATCTATCTATCTATCTATCTATCTATCTATCTATCTATCTTCAGAAGTGTCCTGGTTTTGTTCCTTTAGAGAACACTGCCTAACACAGCTTCTCCAAGGAACATTTTCTGTGGGGATGGAGAAGGGGGGGTGAGTCTGACATTTGATCTGCACCCAAGCCACAGAACTGACTTTAGTGGAAATAAAGGGGATTAAAATATTTAAAATATTTTTAATAATTCATAAATGCAAGCTAATTTCTTTTGTGTCTTGGTGGGAAAATGTTTTATGTCTTGGTGGGGAAAACGTGAAACCGTTTGCAAAGCTGTTCTTGCCATCGAGTGGAGTCCAGCTTCTGGTGGCCCATGTGTGCAGAGCAGACTGCCCCACAGCACACGGTCTTCAAGGTTTCTGCCTTTCAGAAGCAGAAGCCAGGCCTGTGGCCTGAGACTCTGTTTGAGGTGCTTCAACGGTCAAGCGCCCAGTTAGCTGGTGAGAGTTTAACCACCCAGGTTACATGGAGAAAAAGAAAATTCTCCATCCCCTGAATTGTGGTTAAGAAAAGCCACTTCCTGGGTCCTCACTCCTCGCCTGGATGTCTCTCTTGGGCAGCAGAGTGCTGTGTGATAGGGTTTCTAAAGCTCCAAATCAGATTTTCATATGTTCTGGTCCATAGCTTTTTAAACCAGCCCGAAATCTGACCTGACAGGAGCCCTGGTGGTCTAGTGGTTTCACATAGGGCTGCTAACCTCCAGGTTGGCAGTTTAAGACCACAAGCTACTCGGAGGGAGAAAGAGGAGGCTTTCTACACCATAAATATTTACTCTCAGGAAAACCCACAGAGGCAGTGCTACCCTGTCCGACAGGGTCACTGTGAGTCTGCATCAATTCGATGGCAGGGAGTGGAGTTGAAGTCTGACCCCAACGTGGCACGTTCTTGGGGCAGTCCCTAAAGAGAGCTGACAATAGAGATACCCAGTTCTATCTATCGTCCGTCTGTCTGTGACCTATCTATCCATCTGTCGGTCAATCATGCATCTCTTCGAAGTGTGGTCTCTGTGGGGTTATTCCCTAGTTTCTTGCGTATGGCCTCACTCAGACGTGCAGCAGTCACAATGAGTGCTCATAGCAAAGGGGGTCTCAGAGACCCCAACCTCAGGTGACCAGTCATCCCGCTTTTGGTGGGACAGTTCCAATTTTTGGCGTTTTTAAAAAGTCTTGATTTTTGGAAAGAATGCATGACAAGCTAGGGAATGGTCTATTTGGTCCATGTAGACCAAATTTTTAATGAAGAACCACCCCCACCCCACCCCCGTCAACAGTGTCCCACTTTAAATCTGGTTACCTTACCCAACACTGTCATCAGCCAGCAGCATTCCAGGCCCATGCCTCCTTCTCCTTCCCTCCGGAGTCTTGATTTTGGACAGAGAAGAACAATTAGCAGCCTCCCACGTCCTGCAGAAATGGAATCCGTGGGGCTCCAGAAGCCCGTGGACACCGACCAAGGCTGGTTGTCCCGGCCAGACGCTGTCCCCACTCCTAGAAGATGCAGCAAGGAGGGAAATCCTTGTTACCAGCCTTGACTCCCAACCAGGAGCTCAGTGCAATTCTTTCCTTGGTGCTTGTAAATCGCCCATTTCAGTTAAAGTCCTTTTGTTCTGGTTTGAACAATGGCGACAGAGAAGCACAACCCAGCCACTGGGCTCCCATACTGACCCCGAGGGTGTTAGCAATGAATCTTCTTTGGTTTGTGGCTGCCGTCAGCTGCCTCGGAGCAGCCAGGTACTTAGGATGCAGTCCAATGCACGTGTTCCCCATCTTAATCGCCTCCTTATGAAGCCCTGGTGGTGGAGTGGTTAGGCGTTGGGCTTCGATCCACATGGTCGGCAGTTCAAACCCATGAGCAGCTCTGCCGGAGAAAGACTGGGCTTTCTACTCCAACAAAGAGGTACAGTCTCAGAAACCCACAGGGGGTTGTTATGAGTCAGCATTCACCTGGTGGCAGAGAGAGAGGATCCTCTCCTTTGGCTCTGGGACTTCAAACCCACATTGGTTATATGCAGGCAGTGTACCCAATGATAAGGTAAGCAAGGGTTTCATGTGGGCTGATTACTAATCTGCAGTGAACAATTTCACCTGGGTTTCTTATCTGCTTGCTGAACACCTACCTGGTCCCTGTCAGACCTAGTACATTTGGAAAAAGGCTTTGATGCTGTAGCAAGGGGCTGTGAGAGGGGGTGCAAGGCAGCAGTCAGCAATAGCAAGAAGCTGAGTCTTTGATGTGGTGAAAATATGTAAAATCATGCACTGCCAATCTGGCAAACCCATGCTTCCCTTGCTTTCTATTTGAGCCCTCCAGACCCAAGCCTACTGCCATGGAGTCCTCTGACACATAGTGACTGACGAGGGTTTCTGAGACCAGGTTAGAGGGAGAAAACGTCGGGCAAGAGACCAAGATGCCCCCTCCCTCGGGGCCCCTTGAGCAAAATCAAGACAAAGGGGATTTGTTTCTTGGTTTTTATCTGGTCTTGACCCTCCCCCCCCACCCCCACCCCAAGTATCCCTCAACTCCACCATCTGGTTGTCCTTGTTACATTTCAGTAAAAGAAGATATCGACTGAAAGAACAGGCGAACTCAAGGCTGTGGGCAGTGTCAGGGTTGCTGACGTCTGTCGGCCTCAGATATGTTGGAGGTCCTGTAATTGGTCCGTCTCATCCCTGGGTCCCTGCGGCTGTCACTGAAGTGCTGATGCAGCCCCAGGGGAGCCCTTGGGCAAATTCATGCAGCACTGTGCAAAGGG